TCTTCCACGCCAAATCTCTTTGGTTTACAAGGAAAAAATAGTGTTGTTTTTCTAATATATAAGATTGATTTGGATGGCTGAAGGCAGGCTGCTTTCTTTTTTAGCTTGTGCATCAGCAATAATAATTCTGTACTTGCAACTACTTTTAAAAAATGTTGCCTGTGAGAGTGTAGTCAATAGTGTGTGCATGTGTGTAAAAGTAGAGAAACCTCATGAGAGTAACGTAACATACATCGCAGAGTTCTTGATAAAAATATAACATATTTATGAAGTAATGTTTTAGAGTAGAATCTGAATGTAGGCGAACCAGAGTACCAGAATATATCCTTTTACTGCGTGGTTACAATATTTTCTTCAGTATTAAGATAGTTTCCCAGAGAAATGAAAATGGGTAGCCGCAGATAAATTACTTTCACTTTTGTCGATAACTCTTTTGCTGCCATATCAGTAAGACAACTGCTTAAAAGTATGAATGATAAAGAAGAATGTCACTAATCTGTACAAGCAATACAATTAAGGAAGTATTCTGTGGGTCATGCTAAAAAGTTAGCAGGCTAGTGACAAAGTGTTCATTGTTCTGCACTGTATCATAGAAGACCTTGGTTTAGATATCTGGTCACAAAGGCTTGGTTCTTCAATTATATGTAATGTATATCAGCACAGTACATTGTACTGCCATGCAGAGATATTGAACACCTGGTAGGTCATACAGGGACATTTCAGATATCTTTCCAGCAGTAGCATATTTGGAAGGGATGGGGGGTGAGGGACACCAGCCTTGGGTGCTGACTGTGAGGGGGCACCAGAATCACCACCCTCCCCACCACAAGCAAGGCCAAACACAAGCATGGGCAAACCAGGTGGCTGTCCAGGCAGCTGCCCAGGGCTCAGACAGAAAGGGGCCTGAAAATGGTGGTTGTTTTTGGTATTACCATCATCATCATTACCATCATCATGGCCTCAATGAGTCTAGGTCTGGTGCTGTGCACCAGCAGTCTGCTGCAGCAGGGGCAGCCCTGCCCTGCCAGACAGTGCAGCCCTGCACCCAGCAATGTGCTTGGAGGGCAGGAGGTGAATGGAATGAACACAATGATGCTCCAGAGAGTTTGTCACAGCAGGCACAGCCTTGCACCCAATAGAATATCTGGGGTGAGAGGGAACAGATGGGAGATTAGGTGCAGCTCCCAGGGAGGCAACGTCACAGGGCTACTGCTGCCTGAGCCAAAGCTGGTACAGTAGCAACAGCAGCAGTATCAACTGCCTTCAGTATACCTTAAGACTTCCCACCACCACCATCTACAGTAGTCAGCCTGCCCTCCTCCTCTTCTTCCCACTTCCTCCTCTTCTTCCCACTTCCTCCTCTTCCACCTCCTCCTCCTATTCAGCTCCAGGTGCTGAATAATCTTGCTATGCATCTGCTTTTCAGGGGATCATTACACCATGGAGACATACCCTTAGATATGTAAATAGGAGTTGGAGGTCTAAATAACTAGTATTTGGGCCAAAGTCCTTTGTTATCTGGACTGATTATAATTACTGAATAAAATATAGTATTACCTGGGTCCCATTAGATTTTTGATATATTATTTCAATCAAAAGAGGAAAGAGGAGCAAGTGGGTGAGACATGTTTGTACCCTACATTCTTAAATAGCTAACTAGGGAAAGTATTTCTGAGAATGGGGCTGTAATTTTCCAGAACAGGAACGCAACAGTACAAAACTGAGAAAACACAACATGTTTCTACTCTGTGGCAGTTCCAAGGAGACTTTGCAATGAGTTGTCAGTTGCAAAGTGTGGGTGTAAAATGAACTTTACCAGGGAACTGAGAGACTCTTACTTTGGCACATTAGAAATGGCACTTTTCCTTACGTATGTAAACTCTTTTATTTTTCTGAGTGAGCAGGGTTCTGTTGTGGAAACCAGCTGAAAACAGAAGAGGAAGAGAGCACACTGTTGAATAGCAGACTCCCATGGTTGCTCTTTTTAAACATTGTTTATTAAAAAAAATGAACAATATAGACACATATGCAATTGATGAAAATAAGAGTTATGTAAAAAGACAACAAACCAGGGGCTTGGTTCCTGGGTCCATTTCTCATTACCTCTTTAAACACTCACTTGTTTAACTACTCAGGAAAGGAAACCTGACAAAAGACTATTTTTGTGGCCTCTTTCCAGCTAAGTGTAGCAGAACATAAGCAAAGGAGATGACTTTGCTTAGGGATAGTGTAATATGGGAGAGGTTTTTACTCACCAGTAGTACTTCGTAGGCTTTGTATGTTTTTAATATGAAAACATGTTTCCATGATTCATCACTGATAGTCATAAGTATATAAATGCATCTGCTTTTTCTGTACTTTTCTGGGGCTTGAAGTACATGAATAATAACATTTTTGTTTTGATAAATGTTCAAGTAGGAGTATTTAATTACCATTTACTTTAGTCCTGGGCTCTGTAGGAAATGTATTCCTCAAGGAGATTCTAGGTTAGTTGTAATTATACAATAATTTAGTAGATTTGTAAATATATTGTTAATTAAGATTACATTTTATCTAAAGACGTTTACTTCATAGAGCCTAAAGAAGAAAATAATGTCCATTGGCATTTTGGAAGCATATCAAATTTTTAAGGAGTCTCTACTTTTATTTTAAGTTTCTATTTTAAAGTATCCTGTTAAACACAGAAATATAAATGCCTTACTGGGTCAGACTAGTGGTCCATCCAGCCCAGTATCTTGTCTCCAACAGTGGCAAAAGTGAATACTGTAGAGAGAGAGAGCCTTGAATTGTTATATATCTAAAATGATCTATCTCCTGCTCAGTATCCTCCCTGGCATCCACTATAATTTGTTTAGAGGTGCCAGAGCAAACATCTTTGTTCTATTCAATAGCTATGAATAGATCTATCACCCATGAATTTGTCTTTTTAAATCTGGCTTATGTTATCTGCCTCTACAACCTACTGTGGCAGTGAGTTCCATAAATTCACTACATGCTGCATAAAAAAGTGTTTTCTTTTATTATTTTTAAACCTGTCTTCTAGTAATTTCATTAGGTGCATCCTAGTTTTAGCATTCCGGGACTTGGGGAATTAACAGGTCCCTATTCACTTTGGCCATACCATTCATGATTTATAGACCTCTATCATAATCCCCCTCAGCCGTCCAAACTGAACAGTCCTAGCCTTTTTCGTTTATCCTGGTATGGCAACTACTCCAAACCCCGAACATAAACAGGGATTAGTATAATGATTATGTGAAAAAGCCATAAAAGGCCAGATTTAAGGTATTTACATTTTGGCTTTCTTTCATATCTTCTGAGGTCTCCTACATTACTTGCTTTGAAGATTGAAACAAAGGATTAAACTGGCATAAATAGTAAGCTGGCTGCAGGGCTGGAACTCTGAGTGGCCTAAACTTTAGAGGAAGTGGATAGCTGCATTTTGTGCCTGTTGTAGCCTTTTTCCATTTCTTTGTTCACATTCAGACACAGCAGGTGTATCTACATTTGTGCTGTACTGTGGAGTTGACTAATTAGCTCCACAGTAAAGCATTTCTATCTACACATGTGGTGCTATTAGGCCACAGTAAACTAATTAGCTCTGCTGTAGGATAGTACTGTCCGGGACAAGTACTATCCTACGGTGGAGTTATTTAATGCACTGAAACACATGTGTAGATGGTGACATGGGTCAGTTGGAGCGGTGCAGGAGGTGTCTGTCAGCTAGCTCCACGTTGGTGCACCCTTGTGCCCCACCCAGCCCCTCTGCAACATGTAAAGCCAAGGCAGAGCAGCTCTGTATTTCAGGCTGGCCCCTTGCCAGCCAGCTCAGTGTACTGTGGTCCCTGTCGCACATGTAAATGCTGCACATGGGAATAATAAACTCTGTGCACACTGCACTGGACTTCATTCAGGCACAATAATAGCACATGTAGATGCACTCATTATGCATGTGTGTGTGTGTTGGGGGAGGGGTTCTGAATGCACAGTGAAACATAGTATGAATTATCCTTCATGTGTACACTGAGCTCTAGACCGCAAACATTTTCTAGGAAATGTCTTTTCAAGACCATGCCTCCAGAAAATGTTTCTCCATCAGCAAGAGAGAGACACATGTACAAAGAACTGTTGGCCGGCCTTTGTCTAAGAAGGAAGTCTAGAGCTTTCTAATGATCTAGAAGACAAAGATGGTTTCTTATCTCTAATGCTCTTGGACATTTAAGGTCAGTGAGGAGTTAAACAAGATTCCGTAGGCTTGGCACATAGAAGGGCCCTATATTTTCAGTGTAAGTGAGTGGACGTGTCTAATTAGTATCTCAAAGTGTTTGCACCAGCCAGTCTTCATCAGGTATGTCTTGCCTGGTTTGATTGAGCCAGCTGCTATATATCAAATATTTACTTTTTTTGCAGATATTGTGATATATTACTGATGGCAGTGGTTGTATCTCTGGAGAAAGATATACTTTGTCTCATATCCTTAGTGTATTGTTTGTAATGGAACCTGTATAATTTCACTGTCTTTGCAATGAATGATCTCAGGTAAATACTGAAGAAAGGGGAGTACAGTAAGGATCCATATGATGTCCCTGCAGGCTTTCTCTCCAGGAAAATGGAAGAGGAAAATTTTCCTTTCACCATGTTTTGGGTTCTGTTCAAGAGAAATGATTGGTGTCAATGCTGTTCTGTCTACTCCATTTGTGCCATCTAGGCATATTACTACTGCTTTGTTCTCTACTATGTCAAAAACTACAATGAGAGCTGGTAAAATGAGTATGGAAGATAACTTAAATCCATTCAGCCTTTAGCCTCACTAATTAAATGAATGGCAAAGTATCAGTCATTAGTGAATTTGACTAATTTACCCATAATCGTTACCAACCTGAACAGGAGTATTTCAAGTGAAAGACTCCAGTTTTACTATACCTCATAGGCACTCATTTTTATTTTTCTGAAGCAATCCTCAAGAATGCTAATTGTTTAACTCTTTTCACTGCTTACAGGTTTCTAATCTTTATCTGTATGACAGTGTGCTTATGCTGGCCAATGCCTTCCATAGAAAACTGGAGGACAGAAAGTGGCACAGTATGGCAAGCTTGAACTGCATGAGAAAATCCACCAAGCCTTGGAATGGAGGTCGATCCATGTTGGAGACTATTAAGAAAGTAAGAAAAGATGAATCATAAGCCTTAATGTACAATTTTAAAAAAATGTGTATTGTTTGAAATTAAATTCTCTAAAATTATTTACCCATCAGTTATTATAAACAAAATTGAATTGCCATGAAGATATATGTTCAACTATTGGTGTTATCAAGTATGTGCTTTGTATAAGTGACACAATGATGACTAGCTGTATAGCTCTATATACGTGTAGATCAGTCATTTCACAATAACAATGTAAGTAAGTAGCAGGGTGGGCCACGGATACAGGATAAGTTCCTTTTGTTAGATAAAATAGATTGGCTTTCAGAAAACACAGAGAGATCGTGCAGTGTTGGCTATGGTGGGCTTGATTCAGATTTCACACTACTATAAAATGCTCAGTTATTTCTCTCACTCTTTTTCTTTCAAATACACACTGAGCTTTGGACCAAAAATCTTTTCTGAAGAATCTTTTCTCAAAACCCACATGCCTCCATGAAAAAAAAAAATCATCTTCAGCAGAAGAAAATATTTGATTGCATTTTATTTGGTTGAAAATGTTTTGTCCTACTCTAATGGCAACTCTAGTTCATAGTTCAGTTTAATCAAGGTTGAATATGCTTTGATTTCCACCGCTTTTAAAAAGATATGAGGTGAGAATCAAGCCCAGTAGGCCTTGTACACAAGAGTTTTAATAACAACTTTTTGTTTGTCATCAAGCCTCACTTGTTGTCCTAATATGTGGTGCTCTTTCTTTTAGGCCAGACATTTAATGGGTTCATGTTCTTTACCAGAATCTAGCTCTATATTCAACAAAATCAAAAGTTCTTTTGTTTTCAGATTCAGCTGTGGTCCTTTCTACTTTTCTGGTGGCTATCCTTGTGCAGGTAAAAGGTCCAGTGGCATTTTTCAAAACATGCAATAACTATATCTTTATTTCCTTTCTCAGTAAGATAGTTTCGTTTGTCTGAGGCTATGCGTGAGCAATTGCAGAGCATATCATGGCTGCCACATTCAATTTCACAGCAAGCATTAGCAAAACACTTTAGGAGACTTAGAGCATGAAAGGTGCTTTATAAAATTAAGTTCTATTCTATTCTAAAATCTCTAACATTTGTTTCCTTAGGGTCATATAACTGGGCTTACTGGTGTTATGGAGTTCAGAGAAGACGGCTCCAACCCCTTTGTCCAATTTGAAATATTGGGTACTAGCTACAGTGAAACCTTTGGCAAAGATGTGCGGAGGGTAAAGAATTACAGCTTGTTACTTTCTTCTTTTTTTTTCCTTGAAAAAGGAACATGATCTGTTTATCTGGAGAAAAATGCTGTCATTTTAGAAAGAATGCAAGAAGTGCTTTTGCTCACAGTACAGAAGTAATTTACTTCAGAAATAATTTTTTTCTAATTTCTCTCACAAACCTTGAAAATAATTTCATACTGTCAGGAGGGAGATCTGAAAATTGTTTTCAAATATGCAGTATTGCTTAATGTATTCTATGCAGAAGGACAGAGCATAATGGTGAAGATGGCAGAGTCCTACCCCTATGTATTTTCATGTAAATGATGATATAATTGGCATGACTGAAACTTGTCCTAATAAGGAAACTAACTGGGGTAATAAATTACAAGAACATAAACCTTTTTAAAGTGTAGTCTCTGTTCTTCAAGGAGATATTAGGTTAGCTGGAGTGATAGGATATGTTTTTTAAATATATTTCAGAATTTGTCTGAAAGCTGAAAAAACTAAAGGAGGTATAGTAAAGGGAGAAAAGGGATATGTTATACTTGAGGGAAGGAATGTCATAGCCATGCTAGCTAGTAGAGGAGAGGCAGTTTGTAATGAGGTAGAAGATAAAACTGGCAAAAAGTGATCTTCTATAGTCTGTTGTGGGATTGAAAACTACCTAGGAAATGTTCATGCAGGTGATGGTTGTAAATTAAGGTTAGAACACAAATAGGAACACTTGATTTGCTTGGGTTTTGAGTAGAGCAGAAAACTGCAAAATATCCATGTAAGAATATGCACTATTTTTTTCAGTTAAAGTATTGCAAATTAATATTATCATTGTATTTCTTACATGAAGAAGACATGAGCAAAGAGAAGGAATGGCATGTAAGATAAAAGTTTGCCACATGTCTTGGTTTTTAATGATACTATTCATCTATTTTTTTATTATTTATCCAAAATTCATTTTCTTATGTTACTGGACACATGAGAACAAGGTACATACTTAGATTATTGCTTTAAAATAATGCTTTCTCACAACAGAAATTACCAGAATTTGTCTGACATTTATTTTGCAAGTCACTGATGATTTCAGGTGTCTGTATCGTTGATTGCTTAATTTGAGATTACTTAGAAGGAATCTAATTTTCAGAAATCAGTGATGCTGTGCACAGAAAACTGAGACCTTGAAGTGGTCATTAAAACAATAACAGAAAGAACAGAAACATTGCAAATGCATAAATCTCCAGGATTAAATTATTAAGCACCCTACTTTTCCAGCAATGTCTCTGAAGAATTTAGACTGGTAAATGCTCCCTCTCTATATTCAAGTGAGTGGGGAAAAACTACTTTTCAGTCTAATTCATTACATGTTCTACAACTTTTCTGCTTGAAATAAGGGAACATTCCTAATGCTTTGTATTCTACTTGACTGATGAAAAACTAAGATAATGTTGGGAGGCAGAACTGTCTGTTGAATAGAGCATTGAACCTTAGTTCTGTTCCTTGCTCTGTTGTAAATTTTCTGGTTGACCATGGGCAAGTTGCTTAGCAGCCTTGTGTCTCATTTTCACCTTCTTTAAAACTGGGATAACAAAGCTTGTCAATCAGCAAGAACAGGTTCGACACTGTTGGATGTAAACTGAAGTATAAATCTAAACCATCCCCTTGATTGACCAAGTGGTTCAGAAAGGCATGAGCTTTCACAGGCAACAACCTGCTTTGTCAGATGCTTAGGATGTGCCAAAGTACCATGTTTTCTCACATGTAACACTGTTCTTTTTCCCCCAAAACCAGGTGTAGAAAATTGGGGTGCACATTATATGCGAGAAAAAGTAATCACCATGCATCCAGAAATTTGTTATCAAGGGAGCTGTGACAGCACTAATTGTTGAGCCTCAGGGTGCCACAGCAATTAATGCTGCCATTGTTTCCTCACAGGTTGGATCTGGTGCATAGCTCTGGTGCCAGCATATGAGGTCAGATCTAGCGTGCGACCCCAGAGACAGCACATGGGGTTGGACTCGGCATGTGGCCTAGGACCTAGCATGCAGTGCTGGGCTCAGCACACTGAGTCCAACCCAGCACATGGCTCTGGAACCAGTGAGCAGGCTCACTTTAGTGTGTGGTCTTGGGTCTAGTGCTCCCAATCAATCTATTGGCCCCATCTGGTGCATGGGGCTGACAGCAGGCTTGGCTCCCTACTCACAGCAAAGAAAGATCTTCCTTTTTCTTCCGGTTTTCCTTCAAAACCAAGGTATGTTCTATATACAGAGGTGCACTATATATGAAAAATACTACTACTGAAAGCTCATACCTCCCCCAACTGGTTAGTCTTTAAGGGCACAAGGGCACCTATACACTTGATGGAACTCTGCTGCCACACATGCTAATTAGCACGTGTTGGAGGAGACTCAGTTAACTGAGTCCACTGAGAGTCTGCTGGAGCATGCTAATTAGTGTACTCCAGCAGTCTCTGCATCACATGTATTCATAATTCCCACATTTCACAATGGCAGTTCACTGCTACCATGTTGAAGCGTGGGATGCTGCATATATGTGATGCTGTGGATGTTTTAATTAGAGCAGCTCTCACAGCCCCTCTAATTAAAGCGTCCTTGCCCTCCACCCTGGAACACATGTATAGACACTCTAAGTTGCCACCCTGCCTGCCTCCTGCCTGACTTCAGACTAATACAGTTAACTACCTCTCTTTCATGATAATTTTTTCAGTCTCCTAAAACACACATAAGAATACTGCAATAACTAGAAGAAAACAAAACTGGCTCAACTCAGATGAAATTCGTATGCTCTGAATATTACAAAAGCCAGACTACTCAGACATGCTTCTAGGACAGAAACACAAAACTGACTCACTAATTTGAATCGGAAGGATGAGGTGGTACACGTAAGAGATGGTTACTGTGTTAATACGTTTTAAAAGAAATTAAATATTTTTGAATTTACAGATGGTGTTCAACTGACAATGTACACACATTTATAAGTGAAAAACAGTGCAGAAAATGTAAGAGAATGTATTTTTGAAAGACAGTTACTGGGTGGAAAGCTATTTATTGCAAGGTACTGGTTTGGGCAGGAAAATATTTTGAAAATATATATTTATCTTTTAACTAAATAGGTGGAAATAGTAAAGAAATGAGTAGAATTCTAGAGTAATTGACTGGAAATCTATAGGAGCCATGACAGGAGATGATATTTTTCACAGGATAAGTACTGTAGAATTGTCAGCAGACAGTTACTTTGAGCAGGGATTCTGACTTTTTTATCATTGCAGCAAAAATCTTTCACAGTTCAAAAATATTTTCAAGGGTCAAGCCTCCTCCTCTCAAATTACCTGAGAGAGAGAAATTCTGGTTTATTTCCATATCCCTTTTTTCTCTGGTTTAGCTGAACAGGGAACCCTTTTGCAAAAGTATGGATGGTCCTTTCTGTCTTGTTTCTCTTACCACATATGGGATGGCATGAAGCTTTCTCAGTGGTAGCCCTATTCTTTCTCTCACCTGGACTCACATTAAGGAGGAGGGTCTGCTGACGACATATGCATGTGACTATACAAAGCCTTGTTGGACAACCAATGTAAAGTTAATGTAGCATGAGATCCCTGCCCCTTAAGGGGTCCCTTAGAGATAACTTCCAGCTGGAAATTTGCTGAGAGAATGGATGAATGGAAGTACACCCACTGAGAGAAAATTGTTGATCTAATGATACCCAAAACCTGTCAGCTGAGCTTGCAGCTGTGGTTGCTGCAGACAGAATTGGTCATGCCATGAACTGCTGAGGGATGAATTCTACCTTGCCACTCTGAAAAAAAGCATAACTGTTTTAGGAACCCATAGGTACAAAATCTTCTGTGAGTTTCCTTCCACTGTCCCTTTTCTAGAGCCTACTCTGACAGATATTATTATGGGGGTGGGTGATATGAGCCTCTTAGAAAGATTTTGTTTTATATCTCCACTTCTTGTTTTATAAGATCTAAATGATAGGAGACATCTGATTCCTTATGACCAAACCTGTAAATAAAAATTCTTTTGGAAAAATCAGGTCATTCATATAAAGCAGTAGCATTGCAGCTGATATACTTTACTCAATAGAAGTCGAAAAAGACCAGTTGATTATAGTCTTGTTAGTCTTTATTCTAAAGACAACTGAAAAAGATGGACCTATTCAAGCTTGTGGCTATATGACCTACATTTTAGAATTTCAAAGTGAGCTTTTCCAACATATTTAAGGGTGCTGAACTCCCAATGAACTGCAGTAAGATTCGAATGTTCATTCCTTAACATCTTTGAAAATGCCAGTCTGAATTGTTTTACAAGGGAAATTGACTGTATGTTAGTTGAGGGAGCAAGGGTAATGGGATTTTAGGGTCAGGCAATGTCATAGGAAAAATAATAAACATAAGTAGTGACCAAATCAATGAAATGAAAATGAAGAAATAAAACACACTGCAGCAGACATCTTCTGCAGGCTGAATCCATGTGTAGCAGTTTTAAACCAAATGAAATTTGAGGAGGAGAGAAACTTGAAGGTAGATAGATGCAGAGAAATTAGATAAGGACAAAGGAGTCGGGAAGATGGCATTCAGGTAAAGTTTAAGGGCCTTGTTGCACATTAATTTTAGATGGCTCCTGGAGTTCTTAACTCCTGGATTGTATACACATTAACACCAAAAACTAGTTTTAGGCACACTTTAAGCAGCTTAAAGTTATGCCACTCCAGGGCAGGTTTAGCTCTGATGTGTGGCCACTCCCCACAAATGAACCACCCAAGTTACAGTCCTTCAGCATCCCAGGATGAAGTGTCCCATCCCTCACCCTTCTGTTTTGTGTAAACACACTTTCTACCCCCTGAACTCTACTGCCCAGGATTCATTTCTGGCACCAAGCCAACTCCTTCTGCCCCTGGGGGTGTGACCTTCCTATCCTGTGGGGTGCTACCCCATGTGAACAGTCTGCAGAGCACATGCCAGCTAGCCAGGCTGCAGGGCAAAGATGGATCCA